TGAAGTGAACGGTGGTTTATTTGTGTCTACACTGAAAACTGAAGCCTGGGGTGAACAAAGGACAAAATAACAAACAAAAACAAGCTAAGTCAGGAAAGGAGGTGCTACCTAAAACCCTATGTGAAACAAAAACCAAACAAAAGACACGTGCTACACCTAACTCCCTAAACAGGAGGAAACAGTACAAGACGATAATAAATCAGCTCAGCCCTTCTGTTTCAGTGTCTATTTACACGTCAACTAATTTACACACTATATACAAACAACTCTGTAAATGTGAGGAACCACACACGAGTAACACAAGGTTTGAAAGCCAGGGTCAGGTCTGCTGCTGTGGTCAGACGCTATGGACCATCTGTGCCGGGAAAACAACCTGTCTATATGAACTGTATTAATTCTGCCAAGAAGAGTGAAGTATTCAGGCAGAATTATATTAAATATCAAGCACCCAATTCTTGTTTCGTTTCATTATTTTTAACGCATTAATGATGTATGCTGTACAATCTTTACCAAAATGTAAAAAGAAATCGCGAAAACGACATGACAGGAGGACGCAAATCCTTTTGGGGCTGCAGTCGACAGGTTTAAAAACGCCACCGCAGTCCTCTATTGCAGCGGTCCCCAACCTTTTTTGCGCCACGGACCGGTTTATGCCCGACAGTATTTTCACGGACCGGCCTTTAAGGTGTCGCGGATAAACACAACAAAATAAAACTAGTACCGGTACCGTAAAAAAGAAAATTTATTCATAACACACGTGAAAAGACCCAGGAACACCGAGTTAACGATAAAAACGATAACAAAATAACGCTGAGAACCGATAAAAACCCTGAAAACCAGACATTTCACACCTGAGCCTCAACTCTCGCGGCCCGGTACCAAACGACTCACGCACCGGTACCGGTCCGAGGCCCGGGGGTTGGGGACCGCTGCTCTATTGGACCAATGTTGTACTTCCATGTCTCAGCCAATCAGGTGGGAAAAGGGCTTATCTAACTGCCAGATGGTGATTCTAGTGCGGTTACCAAGGCCTCTGTGTTTAATTTCTCTGCCCAGGCGATCAGTTTGTAGTCGAGACTGGCCTCCTGTCTGTGCATTAGGAGACTATTATCCCTTTAAAAACCCCATGATCTTCTGATGAACTGTGACGATCGTCATCATGTTTAGGTGATCAATACAGAGACCAATCAGATTACAGACGTTAGATTGCCCAAACTGATCCACGACTAAAGTATTCACCACAAACCTTTATTTTGAAAGGCCCTTTGTGTTATTCATTGCTAAAAATACAAACCCCGACCTTTTGTGTAGTGAGTATAAAACACCGTCAGACTCCGTCACATCAGTTTTATCAGTAGGAACATTTTGTCTCCATACTCATCTCCATGTGGAATCACCTCCTTTCCAAGCGCAGCCTGGCAGATAATGGCTGTTTTGTTTAGTGGTAGATCAGCCTAAAGTACATAACCTGAATTATTCATCTCTCGCTTAAGACTGCACTGCAAAGCAATTGCAGGGCAAACAGTTTGCTGAGTTGAAGATGCACGTAAGGGGGGTCCTTGTTGATGTAATGCTGCATATTTAGTGAGTGAGTCATGTTTTATTGATGCAAACATTCTGACCTCGCTTGCTTTAGTAGGCACCAACCTGATGAAATCTTTCCCACGCTTCGTTTGATCGGTGTGGGGCCGTCACACTGGATTGCAAAAATATATCAGTGCTCCCCTGCTGTCCCGTTTGCTTCTGTTGTTTTCCTCAGTACTGCACAAAACCCAAAAAGTAAACTTCTGTGCTGTTTGAGGTCTGCTGGTTTGTGGTGTTTTGGTTGCAACACAGGTGAACGCAATAGGTTTACAAGTGTGCAAATATCCTCTGCATTCCTCCCATCCGAAGGTCTCACCTGCAGCTAGCTTACGATCGACAGTTTGACACTATTAACCCATTAAGAAGTTTTCTGCTGACTATGAGAAGAACTTTTATTTGACCCTTCTAACACATTTCCACGCCAGTGAAGCCTCTTTCTGGTTGTGAAGCCATGCTTATTCAAGGATGTAATCTGCACAGGACCAACACGAGTGGGGCTTGGATGAGGGCTTTTAGATCAATGTGCCTCCCCGGAGAGCTGCTGACTTTTTGCGCTAACAATAGTACAGCAACAGTGATTTTTATTGCAGAGGAGGTTTGAATACATCAGCTCTCTGCCAAGTTAAAGTCGAGAGAAGAAATCCAAGCAGTGTGAGGACACAGGAGCAAACATAATTGCTTTTCTTGTTGCAAGGTTGTTTTAGACTTCGAAGGTGTATTAATATTTCACAGTGTGGTACCTTGCACAGGGTACAGATTGACACTGTCTGAAGATGGTGGGTTACTTATTTGCAGATATACAGTTAGGCCCATAAATATTTGGACTAATTTTGGTTCTGTGCATCACACAATGAAATTTAAATGAAACAACTTTCAGCTTTAATTCAGTGGGTTGAACAGACAGAGGAACTAAAGCAGTTGGACAAATTAAAACTGAAAAGGAAATGTTCATTTCTAATACTTGGCTGAAGACCGTCTGCTGCCAGTGACAGCCTGAAGTCTTGAACTGGTGGACGTCACCAGATGCTGGTTTCCTCCTTTTGGATGCAGCGGCTTTCAGTTGCTGTTGCTTTGTAGGCCGGTCTGTCCAAAGTTTAGTCTTCAACAAGTATAATGCAGGTTCAGTTGGGCTAATATCAGGGACTGACTTGACCATTCAAGGATATTCCTCTTCCAGCAGGTCAGCTGCTGATCGGAAGGTTGGTGGTTTGATCCCTGGCTCCCCCAGTTTGCATGGCAAATATCCTTGGGCAAGATACTTACCCCAACTTGCTCTCCGATGCATCCATCGGAGTATGAATGCGTTTGAATAATAGTTAGAAAGCACTCACAGTATAGATAATAGTGCTTGTGTGAATGGGTGTGTATGGGGTGAATGTGGCGTGTTGTATAGAGCGCTTTGAGTACTCCAGGAGAGTAGAAAAGCGCTATAAAAGAATCAGTACATTTACTTTTTTCTTGCCATCATTCTGTTAGAGGTTGATCTTAGTTTACTCTGTCCAACAATGATTTTCCAGAACTGTGCTGGTCTTTTAGATGCTTTTTTTTAGCCAAGTCCAATCTAGCCTTTCTATTCTTGAGGATTATGAGTGGCTAACAGCCTGAACCCTGAGTATTTACTTTCACGCAGTCTTCTCTTTATGGTAGACTTGAATATCGATGCACTGACCTCCTGGACAGTGTTGTAACTGGCTGCTGTGAAGAGATGGAAATGATTCTGCGATCATACACTGCTATTATGTACCGTGGACTTCCAGGTGTTTTTGCATTGCTGAGTTCACCAGTACTTTCTTTCTTTCTTAGGATGTACCAAACTGAAGATTTTGCCACTTCTAATATTGTGCCACTTTCTCGGATGTTTGTTTTCTATTTTCGCAGCATAAGGATGGCTTGTTTCACTTGCATGGAGCGCTCCTTTGACCACATGTTTTCTGTCCACAGTAACATTTTCCAAATGCAAGCACCACACCTCAGATCAACTCCAGGCTTTTTTGTCTGCTTAATTGATAATGACATAACGAAGGAATTGCCCACACCTGCCTGTGAAATACGGTTGTATAAGGACTGAATGGCCCGTAGCAATGGGCCAGGCACCCCATACTCCCAGAGCACCCTCCACAGGACCCCCCCGAGCGACACGGTCGAATGCCTTCTCCAAGTCCACAAAGCACATGTAGACTGGTTGGGCAAACTCCCATGCACCCTCGAGTATCCTCGAGAGGATAAAGAGCTGGTCCAGTGTTCTGCAACCAGGACGAAAACCGCATTGTTCCTCCTGTATCCGAGGTTCGACTAACGGACGAACTCTCCTCTCCAGCACCCTGGCATAGACTTTCCCAGGGAGGCTGAGGAGTGCGATTCCCCGTTGCATAGCCGGCAATAAATCGGACTCGTTCCTGGTGGGTGATGGGCTCCGCCAGGGCTGCCCTTTGTCACCGATTCTGTTCATAATTTTTATGGACAGAATTTCTTGGTGTAGCCAAGGGGTGGAGGACTTTTACTTTGGTGGTCTCAGGATCTCTTCTCTGCTTTTCGCAGATGATGTGGTTCTGTTGGCTTCATCAGGTGATGGCCTCCAGCTCGCCTTGGAACGGTTCGCAGCCGAGTGTGAAGCAGCGGGAATGAGGATCAGCACCTCCAAATCTGAGGCCATGGTCCTCAGCCGGAAAAGGGTGGAGTGCCCACTCCGGGTTGGGGATGAGTTCCTGCCCCAAGTGGAGGAGTTCAAGTATCTCGGGGTCTTGTTCACGAGTGATGGGAGAAGGGAGCCGGAGATCGACAGACGGATTGGGGCTGCAGCTGCAGTAATGCGGACGCTGCACCGGTCTGTTGTGATGACGAGAGAGCTGAGTGTAAAAGCGAAGCTCTCAATTTACCGATCTACGTCCCTACCCTCACCTATGGCCACAAGCTGTGGGTAGTGACCGAAAGAACGAGATCGCAAATGCAAGTGGCAGAAATGAGCTTCCTCCGAAGGGTGGCTGGCCTCTCCCTTAAAGATAGGGTGAGAAGTTCAACCATTCGGGAGGGGCTCAGAGCAGAGCCGCTGCTCCTCCACATCGAAAGGAGTCAGTGAGGTGGTTCGGAAGAAATGGATGGATGCCTGTGAAATAGGCTTTGAGTCAATTGAGTCACTTTAAAAAGAGGCTGGCACATATTAAGGAGCTGAAACTGCCGATAGGTTGATTGATCAATCCAAATTGCCTACAGGTGTGAGTGAATGGTTGTCTGTCCCTGTGTGTTGGCCCTGCGACAGACTGGCGACCTGTCCAGGGTGTACCCTGCCTCTCGCCCCATGACAGCTGGGATAGGCTCCAGGCTGCGACCCTGAAAAGGATGAGTGGAAGCAAATGGATGGATGGACATTCTGTTTGCTAAAATCCTCTGTGGTGATGTATTTCCTGTTTTCTAATCAGATGCTGGATAAACTGAGAGACCGATGGACCAAAACTGGTCTCTGGGACAAGCTAGAGCAACAGAAAACGGTGATCACAGAGCCCCGTGGTGGTGGAGGCAAGGGAGACTTTGATGAGCTGCTTCACACGTACTACAGTGCCATCAAATACTGTGAAGAAAAAGGTGAGACTGATACACATTGTTATGCTGACTCTGGAACAGCTGCTGTTTACTAGTGATTCAATGTGCATCATTTACAGCTGAATAATCCAGAATTCAGCAGGTTATTGTCACAAAGTTTGTGTACCTCTGTTAGAAGCAATCTTAATAAGAAACTGGCCAATGACAAGTGAAGTGAATAACACTGATTGTTTCTTTGGAAAGGGGCTTGTCAATGGCTGTGATTTAATATTATTCTTATACGAGGATCTATAAGCTCATTAAGGTTGTCTTAATGACCTTGTAGTACCATATCATCCCATTAGAGCACTTCGCTCTCACACTGCAGGCCTACTTGTTGTTCCTAGAGTATTTAAAAGTAGATGGGAGGCATAGGGGGTCATATGATTGTTGGGGATTTCTCTGCTTTCTTTGTTACATCTGTGTTTAGAGGCTAAAAAAGTAAATGACAGAAATTGTTTTACTATCCAAAAACTTGGATAATGAATCCTTCAAATGGATGCTAGATCTGCCCGGCATCCATTTCAATGAGTCGTACCACTCGAACATAGTTGCGCACCACATACACGCCTTCTCCCACGTCATGTTCACGGCTCATGGCGTGTGTTTGTTTGATACAGATGGTGCACTGCTGATTGCTGTGTGTAGGGGTAAAGTGAGCGAAGGGCTTGATTTTACGGACGACAACGCCAGGGCAGTAGTCGCCGTTGGAATTCCCTTCCCCAACATTAAAGACCTCCAGGTAAGTAGAATCCCAACAACAAGCTGTGGGGCGTGTGCTTCAGGGCTGCAGGAACTCAGGCTATAAAAATGTTGTAAGATTTTAATGTTATAAAATCCAAAATGTGAATCATTTTTACATAATTAGGCAAAACATGAAGTGTGATGTGATAGAAAGAATATCATTTTTTAAAGTGTTAGACATGTAACAGTATATGTAGCATCTGCAGCTCTCCACCTGTTTATCACTGACACAGCGTCATCCACCTTTAACAGTGCCTGTGCAAAACCTGTAAAGCAGTTGTTTGTAAAGAAAGGGTGGCTTTGGCAGCACAGTGTAGGTTGGGCCTGTTTAGTTTGTAAGCATCTCCTTCTTTGCTCTTCAGTTTTTTCTCTTTGCCTCTGGTATTGAACACTTTGAACACGATAACTCACAGACATGAACGTGCACGCTCACACAAACACACACCAAATAAGAGCATCCCTTTTAGGTGATCCATGAAAAAGAATCCCAAAGCGATGTTGCCGTGTCTGGCCTGTCCTTAGCAGATAAAGTTGACCTTTAAGTTTGAGTCCCTTCCTCCCCTCCTGCCTCCCACTTTCCTCCCTTTGACTCCTTCTGATCCTGCTGTCAGAGCACAATGAAGCTTTCACTAACCTTTTCTGTCAGGGTAGAAAGATGTGTGGCTGATTGAGGCTTCCTCGGTCCTTTCACCTTTGCTTTTCACCTCAGCTGTCAGTTTCACCTCTGTCAGCTCTCAGGGCATGTCTTCAATTTTGCTGATTTTTCTTTATTTGTTTGATTTTTGGGGGGTGTTCTTGGTTTTAGCGTTGAAGAAGTGGGTCCAAGAGCTGTCCAAGCTCCCAGTTCACAGTTTTGTGCCAGTGTTAGTGTGAGAGGAGGTTTGGCTCTTTTGTACAGTTTTGCTGTGGTTTGGTTTTTGGTTGTACTGAATTATATGGTGTTATTTATTCATTCGGCTGACAAATTTATGGAATAAATACAATAAAAGCCGACTCACAGTATGTTGAAAGCGATGTTTCAGACAGGAAACAGGAACATAACACCGGGGGGAGGATTGAGGAAGCTAAAGCTAGTTAAGGGGGACGTGGAGCTGACCAAGCATGAAGATGCTGCATTTCTAATGACACACTGTGCATCAACAGCCTTTGTTTATTTGCAACATGCGCAGAGCTCCACAGACAGATCGCTGCTGCGTGACCAGGTGGCCTGCTGACACTCCTGCTTCTCACCGTGACTGTCCTTCATTTTTGCCTCCTTAGTTACACAACAAGAACACAGTTGTTAGCGTAGTTTTCCCCAGTGTCAGAACTGTAGTCACGTTAGACCCATCTATATCACTTATGTTTATACCAGCATTGCTAGCTTCCATTGTAGCAGAAGGAGCTAGTTCATTTTTATTAGTCTCAGCTTTATACAGCAATGTGACACAATGCTTTTGGATGCAGTCTGACAGAAGTCATAAAAATGTCCTTTATGTTTGAAAAGACTGGCTGTCAAACGTTCTGTTTACTGTGGACTGAATCTGTTGGAATCCATAACGGTCTGCTTGTTTTCATCATCACTTTGAAACCTGACTTTCACGTTGTCTTTCCATCTTTTTTGTACTGCACTGTGTTTCCGTCCTCTTCTTATCTTCTCTTTCAGCCACAGAGGCAGCCCCCAGAGAAGCCCTGGGAGCTCTAAAGGTCTCTGAGCTAACCCCATTACACTGTTGAGAGGAAGAGGACATTGACACTAATGACTCTGAGCCTATGTAGCTAGCTCCCATAACATGCTAAACGAGCACAGACACATAACAGCTGCTTTAAGGGACAGAAAAGTTCAAACAAACACAAGTTGTTATAATAATGTAGCCATTAACAGATCAGTCAATATTTGTAGATATGACAAAATAAAGTTTTCATGGGGTTCTGTGCAGAATACTTTCTGTATGAAGCACCTTGATTCTTTATTTTTCAGCCAGTCTGTTGTAGATTTGCTGATGTGCTCGATATCACTGTCCAGTTTGTATGACCCTATTTTGCCCAAGCTTTCTCTATTAGGTCCAGTGGCTGCTAAACGAGCCCAAATCATTATCCCATTGCCACCGTGCTGACAGTTTGGTTTTTGTCAAACGTGGTGCTTTGCATCTGTCAAAAGGCCGTTGTTCCAGAAGTCACGAGGTTTGCAAACCTAAGCTGAGCTGCTGTGCTGTCTCCTGACAGTTCTTAGTGCACTCTGCGAAACGTTTACATTTTACATGCCAATTGAGGCCCGTAGAGTCTGAGATGTTGCTCTGAACATCAGGTGGACCTTATGATGAATTTGCTGGTACATCCACTCCTGGGAAGATTGTAGCATTGTGAGAACACACGGCTCAGTACTCCAGACCAGCACGCAGCCAAAGCTGTTACAGAACTTACCTGTAGTTGTACTAATGTTGTTTCTGAAACAGCTACAAAGAAGTGTGATCTTTGTCATGGTGCAGTTCTGCTCATTACACAGAGTGTGTCATGAAGCCAGCCTCTTCTGTCATAGCGACCCAATACACAGATGCACTGATAATTCTGACGTGTAGATGATGATCGAATAAGTGCCTCACGAGCTGATCATGTGACCTCTTCTTTCTCATATTAAAACGTTTTCTTTACTCACTGATTTTCCTGCCTTTAATTCCCAGGAGTAATGCTGCTTTCTCCCAGCAGTCTTAGTGTGTCTGGGTTTGTGCACACCTTTCATGTATTAGCACGCTATCACGTTTACTCCGCATGTCTCACAGTGACATTCCTTTAATGCATACAGGCTCACACACACATATGTGACATATCCTTACATAGTCACTTCCATGCACTAGTGCTAACCTGTGCATTCTCCTGAGAGCACAAATGGACCCAGACACATTAACGCATTCATTCTGCTGTTATACGACAGCACCCCATTGCTAGGATAAGAGGTGTAAGCCCTGTTCTCTCCATTTAAACTACTCCAGCGCTGTCGATGCCTGCGCGGCCTGCATTCCCAGACAGGCATAACCTGTAGACGCTGGAGCACGTAGCATTTTACTGGCCTGTTGTGTTATTGTGACAAAGATCAAAGGTTGAACTTGAAAAGTCCTCTGCAGAGAAAGCCTTGCCAAAGGTGGTATTACATTTATGTTGAGTTTTTCCAATGGCATGTTTTTACAGTGAACAGTCACGTCCTGCGTGAGTAAGTCAAACAATAAGTAGGTTTAACAAGCAATAAAAAGACACTTACAACTGATAAGGCATCTCTCTCAGTTTAATGAAGAACACAGCCAACCTTTGTGGTTGCCCTTTATTAGAGACACGAGAGCATTTGCCTGTAAGCTTTTAAAACGAATGGATAACGGGGATTTTAGCAGAATGTTGGAGAGTTCATGGAACTCCTCAAGAATAGGTGCTGATGGATGCTCCAGGCACGCTCAAGCCACTGTACATGTGGCTTTGTCATCAGTAGCTGAAGTACTTCTACATAACACATGAGTATCCTTTGTTTAATCCTCGTTCTTCTTTTGTTAGTGCATTCTCGTGATATTATTCAGTAGTGTCTAAAACTCTGTTTATTCTCTCAGAGAAACAACACCAACCAACTGTCCGTGTTGTTAAAGCAGCTCTCAGACGTCTAATGCTAAAAACAAGCAACCGTGACCATGTGATCAAATGAGTCTAACCAGGGATTCATCAAAAGCTGTCCTGGCGGTGACTATGTTTTGTTTTTTTCACAAGAGCTATTTAAATATTGGTCCTAAATAATCCACACAGGTTGAAGATGATTTATCATCTACAGAAGGATGAACCATTTCAACATAAACGCTAAAGTTTACACTAAAAGATTTGCATGGTTGCACGTTACAGACGCATGTGTTTAAGGTTGAGACAGCATGTTGTTGTTAGCTGAAGGTGTTATCGTAATGTATGCAGTTGCCCTTCTGTTACTGTTAACTCTGTTAGCACATTTAAAAAGAGCCTGGAAAAGTCCTGGGAGCGCGGCTGATAGCTGCACCTACGCACAGCTGGTCCAGCTTTGACACACAGCATGCAGTCCTGGGGGTGGATAGATAGTCAGCCCCCCCGAAACCTCCAACCCTGCAGCAGCTCGGGGTCTGCTGTCTGCTTTGCGTTTTGTGCAGCTCAGCGAACCCACACCCACCTGTCTGCACCCCACAATCATAGGATATTCTTCTAAATATGTTTTTAGGGTAATATCACTGAGGAGCTGTCTCCAGGTCCAACATACTGTCACTTTCTTTTTTTTTTTCAATATGTCATCGTGATGTCATTAGCTAGAGTAGCTTCCTTTCACCCAATTCCACGCACGGGGCGATCCTTGCTAACGGAGATTTGCCTCGTTGATGCGGTTATGGCTTTAATGCCATTTTAACGAGATTAACGCTGACAGCACTAAAATATTTTGTACTTGTAAATCAAATGCGTAGTTGTGAGTTTGTGAGTAGTTTGTAACCTTGTAAACCAAAATATCTGAAAGTTTTATGCTTGTGCATCTTTAGATGAGAATTTGTTCGTGAGAATGTTTTTGTTAAGGTCTGCTTACAGACACGAAGCAAACAACGACGTGTAAAACTGCACTCGCACACTGTGGCTGTGTGACTTTCAACTTACAAGTACAAATTTTGACCCAATTTTTCTTCCTTTCAGCTGATTGGCCAGTGTCATGTCAGTCACAAATGTAACAATCCAATCAGAGAACAGATGGGTTTGGCTGTCAGTGATGCTATACTGAGCTTCAGGTCCTGGAAGGGGAAATGCCCTTTCACATGCCGGCGTTTTCCTTCATCAGCACAAGGAAAACATTCTGTGCGTGTCCGAGTTTGGTGAATTGTTGTCGCAGGTTTACGTGCTCACACAGGGACGTCCGGAGCCTTTTCAGCGGCTCTGTGGACCTCGGGGGGGGGTGCGGTGTCGTGGAAACCCCCAAAACAATGTGTA